GTGTACAGAAAAATAAATATGGACACTTTTCTGAGGAAATACTTTTGAAAAATGACTTGACATATCTCAATAAGAATGCAGTCAAATGAGTTGCCATTTTTAAAACATAATTTCAAGTAAAAATATCAAATGTGAAACGAATTGCAAGGATCATGATGCTTTGATGTAAACAGTAAAAACTGCTAGCGAAAAAAAAAATACCAAGTGAAATGTAGAAATCGCATCTTCCTCATAGAATAATCGAACTTAATAAAATATCATTACTTTCTATTTCCATTGAAATTCGATCTTGATCATGCATTTCTAAACAAAATATAGAATAGTAAAACTATCAAGAAATAATCTTTGTATTACCATTGTTATCATGGTATACTAGTTGTGATGCTGAATCGGGAAACATTCTACTGAATAGTAAAAATGAATCTAAAAATAAGATGAATCATTTAGCTCTCATATGCGGTGATAATATGTGCAAGAATGTCCTGATTCAACCCAGCAATATCATATTATGACAAGAAAAAAAACGTTTCTTCCCTTTTTCAACTTTTTCTCGCTCATATCCAGCACGACCTATCTACCTTTCCGCAGTGTAATCATCCAGCTAAGTGCAAAGTTGACTTGCACTTGCTTGTCTGTTGCAGCATATGAATAACTGAAGTATGATTGCAAGATGAAACATCATTGGTAAAAAAGGATGAATCAAAAGTAAAACACAAAGCCATTCATTTGAATGTCTATCTTTATTCATAGGCAATTACATATAGAGACATATAATTCTAATTCAAACTTGACCCACTATACAATTTTGAGGAAACACTCCGATGGAATATTGAAAAAAATTTTGAACTCAAACTATCTTCTTCTCTAGGGGCAAATGCCTCTTCTTTATAAACCTGAATCCATTTCATTTATTTTTGAGATCTAAACTACGTAGCTAAGTGATGTTTCATTTATAAGAGAATTTGAATTAGACAATATTCATGCTAAGTAGAGTCCTGCACGGAGTCATTTTCGGAGTCATCATCGGAGTCAATTAAGTTTTTTGCCAAAAATTTAGTTTTAGCATAAGAACTTTTTTGATTTGCAGGTTTTGTTCTCTGATATTTAATGTATACAGTGACGAATTTTGGAGATTCCAACAACATCTTATCAAGGTCTATGAACGTGAAAGAAAGTCGGAGTCAAAAAAAATCGGAGTCAAATCTGACTCCGACTTTCTTTCATGTTCATAGACCTTGATAAGATGTCGTTAAAATCTCCAAAATTCATCAGTTTATACATTAAATATCAGGGAGCAAAACCTGCAAATCAAAAAAGTTCTTATGCTAAAACTAAATTTTTGGCAAAAAACTTAATTGACTCCGATGACGACTCCGAAAACGACTCCGTGCAGGACTCTAATGCTAAGGTATCATATACAGTTAAATAAAAGTTTTTCACTGAAAATTTGATCAAAAAGTAGGGCAATCACTTTTCTAAATCCATTCAACGAATTGGCCTAGTATCTATCTCCATACTAATACTGTACAGAAACCGTTACGACAGACTCTGTCTCAATACATTCTTGAATGTCTTAAAATTTCTACTCTGAATCCTTCTGTATCTACGAATAAGGGTTTTTCTTTGTTAAAAACAACACATATAAACGGTACTCAATGTCGTTTGGAAATCGAATTTGACTTCCAAAAGATATATCTGTTAATTTCAAATTTAAATTTCATAGAGCACTGTTGTCGTTTCATAAGACTCATTGAATTTTATCAAAATTGTGTCGCAACGAGATTTTCGATCAACTATGAATTGTCATTCGAATGCTTTTAATGTGTTCTATCTCGCAATTCATAAAATCACTCTTCTCAATGGGATAAAGACGCACTCTGATATAGAATCTCTTCCAATGCAGCCGACTATATTAATAATAAGTTGCATCACGATACCTGATGTAAACGTAGATTCATTAGAGACTTGAAAAATCCTACTTTTAGTCACTTTGTCGCACAACTCTTTGAATTGTATATTTTCAGTATATTGAGAATCCTGTCTTGTTATAACTCATCACGTTCTATTATTTTTAGTGCATAATTACCTAGTAGTAGTAAAAGGACGGTCTCATTTTTTTGATTGTATTCTAGAGAAGGAAGAAAAAATATAACTTCAAGGTCGTGCACTATTACGCTTGATCATATATGTTGTGTACTCTATCCTCTCTGTTGAATTTCCTATCGATTTTTTTTTGTTTCTGCATTTTGTGCGTTTTTTTTTCTTTGTCTATTCTGTTCTGTAACCATTCTTTCAACCATCGATACTAAAAAGGATCGAAAGTTTGCATACTAGGATCAAATCTTTTACAAAGTTAACTCTCAAATAGATCGATCGAATGATTAATTAGAATTTTAGAAAATGGTGCTGTTAACTTTCAAAATGGTTAATTCTTATCTCAATGTTTCATGGTTCATGATCATTGAGATTTATTCCGTTAGTGTATGGTGTTCTCTATTGTATTGCATATGAGAAAATTAAATCCACCGATCCCATAGAGATTAAAAATTATTGTAAGATTTTCGAATAATTGAAACAATGATGTATCAAATGTAAAAAGTCACTATTTATTAGATAACAGAAGATGTTATGTTTGACTGTTGACGCAGTTTTTTAATCGAGTCACTTTGACTTCTAAGAGGTTTTTCTACTGAACTAATCGGATAAAGATTCTAATGATCGAATGCAAAACGTGAAAGATAGTTGTAGGAAGACACGGAATCTTACATTCTGTTCGAAGCTAACAGAATCAAACAATCATACTTAACTTTATTTTTTACTTCATCGACAGATGTATACTTTTCAGTATGTATATTTCCATCGATTTGGATATAATGTGTAACTCATATTTGCAATATTTGACTTTAGTAGAATCACATGCGACTTTTTGAATCACTTTATGGACTGATATTTTAATGCATAATTTTAATAACGTTGTGACGCCTTATTGTGAGACAATAAATGGAACATGAATCATCTGCTCCTATTCATCATCGCTTCTCATTCAAATGGTGTCGTCAACTGTCGCCTATATCATTGTGCAATATATCGATCAGTTTTGATAAGTTCGATTTGTCTATTAATACATCGAAAAATTTACAGAACTGACATAGTTTTTTGATCAGACATCTGATCGAATCTTACAAAAATTCTTACTTTTATCAGTCAACATTTCACTCTCTGAGATCAACCATAGTAATGATTTGTCGAGTCGTGTGTCACAGCTTGAGTATTGAAATTGATCAAGTTGGTCAGAGAATCATACAAAAAATGATTATTTTTTTGTTTGTGTTATGGAATCCTAGTTTCAATAAAACGAACGAATAGAAAAAGAATCAATTGGCAGTCAGCTAATACGTACCATGTTGTTCGTTCAAGTGACATTTGTTTAAAAATATTGCTAATGCAATCGTCAATTATTTTTTGAAAAAAATGCTTCTTTTCATTTATTGTTTCAGAGAACTAGATCTACACTTGACCAAACAACCACTCGAATCTATATTACTTCGAATGCAATAAGACAGAAATTGTGTATCTCTTATACGAATTCACAATATTTTCTAGTCATCCGATATCTTATCTTCATCAATGAATGTGGAGAAGGAATATCTTTTCATAACACAACGTTTCATTCTTGATTATTCAAATACTATATCGAAATTGAAAAATGAATACTGTTTCTACATTGTATTATGTATTTTCTAAAATACAAAACTGGAAATTTACACATATATCTCCATGTTTTTTAGAAGAGATGAAAACTTAAAAACTTCGATTTGGCTATTGAGTTTTCGAATATCTGAAAAGATTTTAACTTGTTTCGACATACAATCGAAAAAAAAACGGCTAAAACCATTACAAAAATAAAATACCATATTTTAAAGGACAACTAGATTTTAAAAGAAATGAGCTATATCATATAATTTTATTTCACTTGAAGACAACATTTTTTCATATAGTTATATTGAGCTCAATAGCTCTATAAAAATCCATGGGAATTAATTATTAATTAGTTGTCTGAACTCAAAATTTGACTACTTCACTCTTGAAGTATATGAAATAATTTGCGTCGACTTTTTTCCAAAGCTCACGCAGCTAAGATAGTGTGAGTGGCTGTGAATGAAGAGAATATCGACATCGACATCCACATTCCAATAATACTCTTGTTCAGCATGATTGTGCTACCATAATGTAGCCATGGTATTCGGTCGACAACATTTGATCGAATCAACAAAGACACCGATCGATTACTTTGGTTTTGTGATTATCAATCAAATTGAATCAATAAATTGTGCTGCAAAATTCAGTGACATTTGACCTATAGAAATGTTTGGGGTATATTGAAAGAAAAACTACGAGGATGTAAATACAGTGAAATTGATCAATTCAAAAACGACATCAAAAAGGAATGGAACAAATTTAGTATTTCTTTATGTCAACGAATGATATATAAAAAACCAGCTCGATTAAAATTACGTATCGATCAATGTGATAATCAAATACAGGAGCATTGATAACTTACGATTTATCTTCTTGTATTTTTAAAAATTGTATTGTTTTTAAAATTATAACCAAGATAATTAGAAAAATTTTTTAAATAGTAAACGGTAGTGTTGTTATAGTTTGTCATCCATAATACAAGGTATAGACCTCAAATTTTGTAGTTATATAGTACTATCTATGTGCAATAATTCGCTAAAGTTTCAAAAAGTTAGCTTTTATTGAATGCGAGAACGATGAATTTTAAGATTGTTTCAGAACTTCTGAAACATCCTTTATATCTATATAAAGATATATGTATAGAAAAAAGAAGCTGAACGACAACAACGAAATACAACAAAAATGGCATTCACTTCCATATAAAAAAGACATCACTATAAGTCCACATAGATACATAAAAGAGAGACAAGACTTAGAAAAAAGTTGCACTTGCTGAGTTATTTCCTAATATTTTTTTTCTTTCATTCATTATGTTCATCATATATAATATGAAATAATTTTTGTAACATAATTACAAATGAATTATATCGACAATTAAAGTCACTTGGTTTCTTTTTCCACATTACACAAAACATATATGTAGGTATAGTTGTGGTTAATAAAAATAAAGATGTACTTATATTTTCTAAATCAGTTAATACACTTGTAACAATAAGTATTATTAAAATTGAAATAAATACAATTGGAATTATTAAAGGAACTTTAATTGGTCGTTCACGATTTGGATGTTTATAACGAAGAACAATTAAACCAACAACAGTCAATAAAATACCTATTCATATACAAATAAAACTATCTTATGAATTGAAGAAAAAAAAAGTTGAAATTTACATGTCCAATTAATCATACCAACACAAATAATCAATTTTCTGATATTCGACATAAAGTAAAGAAAAATAAAACTAAGAATGATTTCAAATAAAATTGCAATTATACGTATATCCGATTCGTAATGTTTCATAGAAAATATGTATGGCATTAAACCATCACGACCAGCAACTAGAACATATATTCAGCATAATTTGATTCAAAAAAAAAACAAAACAAAATAAAACAATAATTTGATTCATCTTACCCTTAAACATTTGTCCAACAATAAAAAGATTTCCTGATGCAGCTAAAAATAAATTTATCAACAATAAATATATTTACAATATGACACTAGACACTTACTTCCAACACATGACATCGTTATACCAATTGGTATAATATATAATAAAAATGGTAAAACACATTCAGCAAAACTAACAGCTGTTGCATCAGATATTAAAATATCATATGCAGATGAAACCGTAAAATAAGAACTGAATGTAAAAAAATAGATAAGAATGCAAATTAATAATGAAATAATAATTGAACGAGGTAATATACGATTTGGATCTTTAAGATCATCAATTACATTATTTACACAATGCCTTTAGAAGAAAAAAAGAAATATAAAATTATTTAAAAAAAAAATTGTTGCAAAATTATCATTTGTTATTTTTTACCATCCAGTATAAGGAAATAGACCAGCATATAATGCACCTGTAATTTTGCCATATGTTGAACCTTCGAATGGTTCAAAAAAATTTTCTATTCTACCAAAATACATACGATAAATACCAGCAACAATAATAAATACTAGAGAACCTAAAATTTTAATACTCAACAAAATAATAAAAACAAAAACAAAGAATATTCTTACCAATTTTAAAATAATTGTATACCTGATGAAGACGTTTTGTCGATGTTGCTGATATTAAATTAATAAAACCAACAATTAATAAAAGAAATGATGATAAACATTTAACTAATATTCGAGGTAGTGTACATGTCGAATAAAACCAATAAACAAGATAATTTGATGCTGTTAATATACTTAAAACAACAAGCACTGGTCGTAATAATACAACATCAATCCAAACACGAAGAAAACCTATTAAATTACTAAATGCTAGACGAAGATATATATAATCACCACCTGATGATACATATGAACAACCAAGTTCAGCATAACATAATGCTCCCTAAATAAAATATTTTACTAGAATTTAAAATTATGGACGCCAAAAAAGATGAAATTCTGCCAGTAATTCGAGGTTTTCTCTGTCAAAACTCAGTCATTGTTCGAAAAAAGTAGTCGATTCGGCATCAGCACTAAAAGCCACATTGACTGAGATACATTCTAAAATGTGTTCTCGATTTCCAGTTTTTCGTGAAAATCTAGGCCTTTTCCTAGGGTCAAAATTTGTCAAAAAATCGAAGTCTTCAGAAGTGAAAGGAAATTGCCATAGTCGATGCAGCTTTTGATGCTGCTTCCGAATCTACTACTGTTTTCGAACAATGACTGAGTTTTGACAGAGAAAACCTCGAATTACTGGCAGAATTTCATGTTTTTGGCGTCCTGAGCCAGAATTGAACGGTGTTCGTTTCCAATATACCAATATTTCGAAAAATCAAAGTTATACTTTTGAAGCCCAATGTCTAACGATTTTAAGGGTATATAGAACTCAGCTATATTCCGAGAAGAAAAAAACTAGATAACTTTGCAAAAAACAAATCCACGACACACCAATCTTTGCGTTTTTCTCGCTGTCAGACTCTACATATTTTATAAGCATATTTTTACTAAGGAACATTAAAAATAGGTCAACAATGGGTAAAATCAACGCAGTTTTTCACAACGAATCTGGGTGTGGGTGTGAGTTTATGGATTTCGATGAAGGACTTAATTTCTTTAATATTCACACCCATACCTCATACTCTCTTGGTTTTTTTTGTCATACTCCTACCCAAGCACTTTTGTTGAAGTCTTTGAGCCTACCAAATCTGATATAGAATGCTTTTAGCTATAAAAATGTTTGTCCAGATTTTTCGCTGATTATTACCACCGAGAAAAAAACTAAAATATACAACTGTCCTAAACTTCTGTCTGTCACTATCAGATAAAGTTCTTCTCATATATATATATATATATAATTCTTATTTCCATTTGTTAGTGATTCTTATCTATTTCTTTTTTTTGCAATTATTATATTTTTCGTAATTGATTTCGCATTTTTACCGGATGCAAAATTGAGCTTGATTGACATGCTTTCATTTGGTTGCCCAACAGTAATAATGTTACTAATTGAAATGGAACAGCGAACCCATGATTAAGTTCATTTCGTTAAAGCTAATAGAAGATCATTCACGCAAACACTGTAGATGGAAGCCCTAATTAAATTAGCTAACTGATAATAATTAGCTGCTGAAAATTGTTTTTTTGGAACAATTCGTCATAATGTAAAAAGAAAGAGAAAGAGAGAAAGAAATTTTGTCGAAAAGAAATAAACAAACAACAAAAATTTATTCCATTTTGTATGCTACATTTCCGGCACATGCATATGAAATTCAAATAAGCTGATATTTTTTCTGAAGACATGAATTAGATTATACTTCATGCATACAAGCGTAAATACTTATTAATAATAAATATTTACGGTGAACATTAACATCGAAAATCTGTAAAAGATATTTTTTTCATTGTGATTTAGATTAGTAACATGTTTTTTTCTATTTAAAGAAATGCAAAACAATCTGTGTTATTTTTGCCTTCTTCAACCGAATATGGATTATATGATTGTTGTTGAGGTTGGTATTGCATTTGCTGTTGAGATAGATACGGCGTTTGATATTGCTGTGGATAAGAATTAAAATTTCTGTCATAATTTTGTGATGAAACTGCATATGGATTTCCAGTTGATGGTAGTGGTGAATGATAAAAGTGTCTCTGTTATTCATCAACTGGTGATTTCATTGGAGTCATTACAACAACTTCTATAAAACAAAAACAAAGAATGTTTAGATTAGAAGAAAAAAATAAATAAAAAATTAATTCTTTGTTTTTGTTAACGATGTTTTGAAATAAGAACAATAACAATAGCAATCATTATTATAATAAGAAGTATTCAACCAAAACTCGAATTACCACGAAACGCGACACTAAATAAATCAATTTTTTTATAGTAAAGAAAAAATTTTTTATTTTTCTTTTTTATTATTTCATTAAAACAAAACTATTGTCTCCACGAGTGCAACAACAATGTTTTTCATATTTACCACTAAAATATTTTGCTTCGTATTAAAATACATTCAATGAGCAACGCAATTGTTCAAATCGTGTACCATTCATATCTTCATTATTTATACATGTTTCTCGAGCTATATAAATAGTTAGAAAACAAAGCTTCTTATTGTGTGTACAGTGACCCTCGAAATTATTTGATCAGAGCTTATTTTCAATTCTTTCTTTTTCGGTTGCTGTAAACGGTAATAAGAAGAATGCAAATAGTAATTTGAATAGAGCATTTTATTTTTAACGAGAAGTTTTGAAGATGAAAAAAAATTGCTAGTTTTTCTGAAAAATAAAAAATTACATTTTTCAGCTCCTAGAATTCTTCTTCAATTGTCAAAAATTATAGGACAAATAAGTCTTTACAAAATAGATCTAATGGATGGGGTCATAATAAATTGTACTAAATGTTTTTGCTTTTTTTCGTTCATTTCCTGTTCAAGAAATATACTCATTTTTATATTAAAAGATAGACAATTTCAAGCTCTAAAAAATCGTCTACTTTGTTTTTCAAATATGTTTTGGTTGGCAGCGCCTAATTAAAAAGATTCACACCTATATCAGCATTCAAATGCGAAGGTAAAAAAACGGAAAAAAAATTAAGCAAACTTTTAAACAACGGTCCAGCTGAAATGTAAACTATGCTACAAAATTCTCCATAAAATTCTGTATCTTTTGTTGCATGTTTCTAAATTTCAGAGAAAATATTTGAGAGAAACAGTTTTTAACAAAAAAATATGCAAACAACGAAAAAGGCCTTTTCTGATAAATCTGAACCAAAGTTCTTCTTTTAATTCAAAATAACCTAAGTTTTTTCACTGTTCAATTTAACAGTTACACTATTTTATTCAGAATTGAATTCTATATCTGATGACATAATAATAAATTTTTCATAGAGCAAGTCTGACTTTTAACAACATGGTTTTCCAAAAAATGTACCCTAAATCAACGACAGGTGTCAGTTCTATGTCTTTTTCTCCTAAGTAACAGCATTAGGAACCTTGAGAAGTTCATGGAAGGAAAAACCACAAAATTCTCTACCAACTAGTGTTAAATATTGTATTATTAGCACCGATCTTGATGAGCGAAAGTTTGTACTAATTGATAATTGGCAGCAGAAAACAGAAAATCACAGTTGAATGATTATGTAGGTGTGAATCTTTTTAATTAGGCGCCGCCAACCAAAACATATTTGAAAAACAAAGTAGACGGTTTTGTAAAGTTTGAAATTGTCTATCTTTTAATATAAAAATGAGTATATTTCTTGAATAGGTAATGAACGAAAAAACGCAAAAGCATTTAGTGCAGTTTATTATGGTCCACCCGTTATCTAATGTTTTTTCATTGAGCTATAAATCTAGTGAAAGACAAAAACGCTATTTCTATAAGAAATATCGAAAAGAAAGCCGACTATTTTGTCTGCAGTAAGATTGAGGGATCTCGATGATAAACCATTGTATAGACCTATTTTGTTGAGAATTGTTTGTTCTAAACTACGATGCATATGTATCTGCGTAAATGTCGGAGTGTGTTGTGTTTAAACGGTAAGTGCTATGAGCCTAGTTTTATTCACTGACAGATACAATAAACTCTACTTTAGAATGAATATTTAAAAAAAAAATAGCGTGTAGTTTAAGACTCAAAATATTGAAGTTTTTAAAATCACTAATGGCCCGTAATCAGAGTATGATTGGAGATTTCTTTATATATTTGGCTTACCCGAATTTTGCCAATAAGACTTTCGCCAATTGAACATTCGCCAATGGCGAAAGTCCTATCGGCGAAAGTCTTATTGGGGAAATTAGGAAATCCCAGCTTTCTGTATTGAAAACAGAATATTAGTCCCTTTTGAAAAATGATGAACAATAAAAACAGATATGTTCCAAAACAAACAGTTCGTTCAGCTATCAACAATCATAGTCGCTGTCATCCACTGGTACCGCGACGACTCGATTGCGCGTCGCAACGTCGAACTTCATCTGTGTTTCCGTTTCATCATCGAGGGTATGAAGCATTTTTTTGGTTGCTGAGCCATTCGACAACTCCATCTTATCGGCTTTCTACAATATTTCGATTATGCATATTAAAAAAAAACTTTGAACGGACCATATCGGTATCATCGACTCTATTTTTGAAGCAGCATCGCAACCACTTTTCTAATTTCTTTGGCAAACAACAACAACAGCTTATATTGTTTATCCTGATAATCAGTCTGGGATCAATGTCTTGTGACTTCAGAGGATGAGTGAGGTAGGTCACAATCAGACCGACAACCAGTACAGTGCAGACAGCGATTGGAGTGTACCACATATAGCTTATAGAGTAAAGATCAAGTAGAGGATCGCGCCTACAAGAGATTTGAAATGACGATAATTTGAATATTAGCTTAGGTAAAGCAATGAAAGAGCACGATTATGAATATGAACCAACAAACAAAAAAAGCTAAAATATTGCTTTAGTCAAAATCTATCCCTCAAACGTTTTTTCGGGTCAAAAAACAGATGAAAATAAGTCGCACGTATCACAATCGGATTAGGGCTAAGGATAAGTGAAAATATTTAGATACTTAAAGAGTTTTAGATCAATACCTCAAACCAAGTTATATTTGACTTTAACTAAGCTTATATAAGAGCATCAAGAATACGCATATATCTGTTGAAGTTAAAATTGAAATCTTAACTATATCTATTCCATAGGCTCTAGTTAGACACTATTCTAATCAAAATTTTAGGCTAAATACATAACTATCTTCTCATTGAAATGTCAAATTTCTATTAACAATACTTTTTCAAACATCTAACAAATCTCAAAAGTCGTGTTTCACCTCTTTCTTGACAAAGAACGGAGGACTTTTTAGGGATATTTCGGTCCTATTAGAAATTGAAGATAGATTTACGTGAAACTTCCAGCAAATACTCAGCAGAATAAGACATAGGGTGATCAAAAAGTTCCCGGAACACTGGTATATCTATTGAAGGAAGCGACATTCCATCCATCTTTCTACCCCATATGTTCGAGGTAGTTGTTATGATATTCCATGAGAAATTTCATCCTCTTAACTCACTCTTTAGATATCCTTTCGAAGTAAACAACAGATATTGAATTGACCTTCTTGGTTATTACTCTTGCTAGGGTGTAGATGTGAGTATGGGTGTAAGTACAGAAAAGTATAATGAAGTACAGAAGTCTACTTTTCCTTCTTGCAACGAGAGTCTATTTAATCAAATATGCGAATTCAAAAAAATCATGGCTTTTAACTTGGCTATTTTTTCAAGCTGCGAAACTCTTCTTCAGATTGAAGTCTTGATAAGTACCAAGCGAAGTTCGAATTGAACTTCTTTGTTTGACCGAAAATTCAACATTTGTACTCAGTTTAGGTAGATTTTGAAATTCCTCGTTCAGTAGCCTCGCCTCACTTTTATATGATGCTTACTTGTTTGCGTAACCAGTTGTTGTTGTGTTCGCTATTACAAGACTGGTCAGATTGAATTTTGTGCAGTTTGATACTGATAGTGGCAACTGATAACTGGTTCTTTGGCTCTTCGTCAGTTGCGCTCCCAAAAAGATCCATAACTGTAGAGCCAAACTGGAGAATAGCCCAATCACCGCACCGCGTCGATTGGCTTGTGGAAATAAAAACCCAAGAATAAAAACACCCAAGATGGGTCCAAAGAGAACGCCTGTCAGAGACACGGCAGCATTGATGACTGAACCCAAAGAGCTCGCCACAAAAGTAAGAACCATTACGACGACACCGAGTACTATCGAACAGATTTTTGATGCGAGTCCTTCACGCTCATCGGTTAGCTGTCGTCGCATCAGTCCCTTATATATGTCTTCGAGGAACACTGCTGCAAGACTATTGAGTCCGGATGAAATAGTCGACAACGAGCCTGAGAAAATGCAGGCAAGAAAAATACCGGGTAGACCTTTCTTGTTACTCAACGTTTCCATGACAAAATATGGAAATAGTTGATCTGGCTTACTCACAAGTCCAGCCGTGTATGGATCACAATCAATGTAGTATGCATATATAATAATACCTGCGAGACCCGAAAGAAGAATAAAAACACACAGGCCAGCAAGATTAATGAAAATAACTTGTCGGGCGGCTCGCTCTGTGCGAACGCATAGATATCGTTGCACCAAAGACTGATTGAAGCCAAAGTCGGCCAAAGCATTAAATGAGCTGCCGATCACTAGTCCCCAAATCGTGTGACGAATGCGAGGATCAAAGCTCATACTATGTAGGCGGAAACAAAATTGACATTCAATAAAGACAGACTGATAAACCGTGAACTTACTTGTCAAATTCAATACGACCCCCACTGTAAGCAATGAAGAATGTCCGCTTGAAGCCACCAACCAGAATTAGACCTGACACAAACATTAGATGGCAGAAAGATCAAAGTCCTTTATAGGGGTTGTATTCTTTAGAGAGATTTCTCAAATAATTTATTTTCGTTATTTAACATCATAGTTCTCAATGATATGAAAGCTACGGTTCTAGCCCTTATTAAATTTGAATAATGTCTTAAAAATATTCTCATCTGAATATCTGCCAAAATCACAGACCGATCTGGCTCTTTACATGTCTCTCTTATTTGGCACGCTGTTCGTAAGTGAATAGTTGAATAAAATTGGAATTCTTATTGAATTCCCTCGTCCAAATTTCATATACGAATACTGGATACATCAATTACTTTTCCTTGGTATCTTATGGATATATTCTTCTTTGTATTGTATTTAGGGCAATCCACAAGTAGTGTTGTCATCATCTTGTTTCCATATAGAAAGCTTTAAGAAACTTTCTCTCTATATAGTCTAATAGAAAAAAGAATGTCCTATTTTTCTATGCTATTTGATCATACTTCAACTTATCTCATAATAATAAGCTTTCGATAAGAT